GAAAACTTGTTAGTTTAAGTGAACAAAATTTGATCGATTGCTCAACTCAGTTTGGTAATAATGGTTGTAAAGGTGGATTGATGGACAATGCGTTTAGATACATAAAAGTAAACCAAGGTATTGACACTGAAGAATCATACCCTTACGAAGCTGAAGATGGTAAATGTCGTTATGATCCGAAAAACTCAGGTGCTACTGACACAGGGTATGTTGATATCGAATCTGGAAATGAAGAGCAACTGAAGTCTGCCGTTGCTACTGTTGGCCCTGTATCGGTTGCCATTGACGCCGCCCACCAGTCGTTCCAATTTTATGCAGAAGGAGTGTATGATGAACCCGAATGTAGTACATCCCAATTAGATCATGCTGTGCTGGCTGTCGGATACGGTACCTCAGAAGACGGGCACGATTATTGGATTGTTAAGAATTCGTGGGGTCCATCATGGGGTCAACAGGGATATATCTTAATGGCCCGTAACAACGAAAATCAATGTGGCATTGCAACACAGGCCAGTTACCCATTAGTTTAAGTTTACCTTTAGTTAGAATATGCCTGTGTAACATAATTTTTCCAAAAATATAGCAATATGAAATGTTTATTTGTATTAATAATTAAGATTTGGAAATAAAAGCACGACATGAAAGTGCACATGTTTCAATATTTGGACTACAATGCTGACGAGTCCCGAATTAAAAAGTGAGTAAACAAACTTGAACTCTGCACCACTGTTACAAAGCACCCGTTTTCCACCATAGAGCATCCCATGCATGAAAGCACTAAGATCATTTTTGTATTACTGTAAGTTGCATTATGTTATCCAGAAATTCTACCTCCAGTGCTTGTTGACTTCACCTACGTTTCGGGCAAACTCCACTCTCGGGGCTAAAATACACACACTTTAGTCCTTTGGTATACCTATAATATACTAATTCTCTACGGTTATTAAATAATGCACTGATTCCGGATTCTTGTTGATTATTAAATTGAATAATAACATACATTTTTCACAACGTGATTTTTTACATTTCAGAATTCACGATAGATAATATGAAAAAATCACATTGCTTTGGAAATAACTGACAGTCGTGCCAAAGCGTATCTTAGCAACCCCGTAAGTACCCATTTGAAATGTTAAACGACACTCATTTCTGCTGCTGTTTCGCATAATTTTCTGATACTCCTTTTGCAATGTACTGGCATTGACTAATACTCCCCCCAGTATTAGTCAATGGTAAGTACTGGATAGCGAAATTCGAGAAATTGCGCAAGCATCCAGAATTAATTTAATTCAAAAAGAGAGAACCGTTTCATTGTTGTCCCTTTTGTTAGAATAGGTACACTGTTTAATTTACAAACCTAGATCTAGAAGTTATTTAGTGAATATCAAAGTGGGTGTGTAAAAAAATAGATGTAATAGTTTTGTCTGTGTGATGCATTTTGTAATTTCTGTTTATTTGAATGTTCCTGTTGTAGGTATTAATATAAATGTTACCTATTATCGGAGTTGCTTCTTCACCGTTGTCCACATTAAACCTTACACCTTTGCTTTGGGTTTGGAAACTACCGGAGTTTATGGCAAAGAAGGAGTTTATGGCAAAGAAGGGGTGGATTTGATCAACGCAAATGCACTTGCACAGGAACTTCAATGTAAAAACTGCGCCTCGAATCGCCCTGGATCCTGGAAACCTGTTCCGCTGGATATTTTATTTTTTTTTTAGTTCAAAACTTAAATGTAAGCGGTTAATTAATTTATCACTACTAAAATAAATAAAAAGGCTGTTTACGGAAGTACTTAGGTATATAAACATTTCTTGCATAAGTCGTAGAATAGCTCTTTGATGATTTCAACTCTCGCTCGTGTGAAAAACTTCATTTACGTGTATCATAGCTTTAACTAGAATAAAAGAACGGCCCTGATTGTAAGATGCATGTTGACAAAATTCTGATTTCGACGAAATTAGGTATCTGGGGGTTTTTGAACATGAAAATCACGAATATAGAATTAGTTTTTGAAAATTCAAAAAAAAGTTCCACTGCAATTCATGGCCGGACAACGAAAATGGAGAGAATTCCACGAAATTTGTTGTGTACCTACATACTTGATGAGGAACAGAATTGTCGAACGGTTTCAAACAAAAGTTACCTAGACTCGTTTGAAGATTGGGTCCCCCACCTACCATGTGAGTGATCTAATTTCGCATGTAGTTAATTGAAAATGTCGCATATAACAAAAAAATAACGATTGATTGTAATGGAAGTGGAATTCTACTTAAATAGTTATTTCCCACCAACCGCAGCCACGGAATTTTTGGAATAGAATTTGCAGACTTGAACACCATGATCGACATATCGAATTTTTTTGTGATCATTTAATCATAATATCGGAATTTGTTATTTGTGACATTTTCAATTAACTACACGCGAAATTAGATCAGTCACTACTAGGCGGGGGACACTTTGCGCCCGTTCGTGGTACGAATTTTGAAAAAAAATTCAAAATCGGATAGGGCATACCCGAAAAGCTATTCAAAGACGTGCCACCTATGTTTGTAACTCTTACGGTTGCTGAGAAAAAAATTAAACAAGAAATCCAAATTTCACCACTTCCTTGGGGGTGGCTCCCAAACGAAACACGTTGGACCCTCGGTGGAAAAAGTGCTTGTCTTGATCCCCTCTATCACCTATTTTTTTTTACAACTGTCATGTAACACCCTGTATAGGGTTTGCTAATCGTTAAATCATAATTAAAATTAATCCCTTGTGTCCTTTTGACACTGAAACAAGTAAGCGTGCAATTCTGATGAGATACCATGCCAACGAGAGTCTGTTAATCACCGAAATAGCAAATTATTCCCTAATAGAGCAATAATGATCGTCATACACTAAGTACTCATTCATCATAACAACGAATGATATTTTATATATGTCCAACCATTCGAATCACTTGGAAAAATACTGAGAAGATTTACACCTATACTTATAGGTATAAGTTTACAGTTCTTGGTACCTACCCGTCAAAAGATGTTGGTATTTGCAGGATTTTAACGCATTTTCCAAAATACCGAAATGATCCGCAAATTAGGGCATTATCCGCCCACCTAAGCGTCTATCCATATGTCTTGCGGATTATCTTCATATTAATGACTAACACAAAACATGTTTAGTTTATTTTATTGATCGTCTGCACATACAATAAATGTGATGCCGACATTTTAGTCAATATCACAGTTTACCCGAAGATACGAGTATATACAATACCATTATATATATTATGCTATGCCTATACCACAGATTTGTAGTTAATCTGTGCCTATACGTACTGTACCCATATTACCTATATTATATTACTATAAGCATTGATTAAAAAATTGAGTTTTTAGTCAATGCTATAAGGCATTCAAGAATTTAAGATCAATATAACACTCTCCAGTGAAAAGTATAAGTCGAATAGGAACGAACGAACGGGCGGCCATAGTGCAAAATTATACCTATCTATTGTATTTTTGATCATTACACTACATACACAACTTGACCTTGGTACGAATATTCAGAGCGAAAATATTCATGGGGCTTATCTATACTGGGTCATAGGGAAATCACCCAAACTATTCTATTAATAATCAAAAAAATAAAAATGGATTGCATGTCGTGGATATCAGAGGGCACTGGAGTTCAAACCATATTGTATTCCAGAATTATTTTTAAATCATTAGAATTGAACTCACTATACCGATAAGTACCTGAAATGCGTTATTGAAACGCGTACAAAATGTGCAGACCAAAGTAGATTGGGGCTAATGCGACTGCAATTATCAATTATCAGATTTGGTCCAAGGTTCCTCCTATAATAACTTCAGACTGTTTACTTTTCGTATTTTTTCTGTATACTGAAATGTACGCCAGTTCTTATCAAATATACCTAATGGCTCGAGGAGACTACACATAGTTACGTGCAAATGCTTTAGGTAGTTAATGCAAAAATTGATAAACCCTTTACTACTTAATTATAATTAACAAAATTCATAACTTTTTTGGGCCCTTTGCCTATATCGTGCCTTATGGGTAAATCACCAATGGGATTAATATGCTCGGATTAATGTAAAATCGACAGTTTACGATTACAGGTTTCACTGGTAGTGTTTAATTAAAAAAAGGGTAGGGTATAAAAAATTAGGACACTCCATTTTCGAGATACTTATTCACATTCAAGTTTTTACATCGGCAGTAGATATATCTAGACGTTCCAATGCCTTTTGAGAATAGGTACCTTTCTCTGTTCTGCAGATATTTGGCATTGAAAGTTTTGACATCACCAGTAGATGTGTCTCGTTAAAACATTCCACATACCCTTTAGTACTCACTTCCGATACTTCTTTCTTGATATCCGTTTCGATCTAATCAATTAGATATGATGCCGTCCAGACGATTCATGAGCACTCTCCTCCGACAGGGCGCTTTCTTGCTCTTAAAGAATACTCTTTGCTTTCGCCTCTAAAAAAGGGCGACGAAAATGTAATTTTCCTCTCTAGTGAGGAAAGTAAAAAAACAATAAAATTGCGCCGTTAACCTTTTCAGGAAAACCTTAACGGTCAAATGTGCTCACTCGGCACTCCCTATAATTTATAATTATAATATTCTTTAAATGAATATTTTAAACCCCCACTAGGTCCACCAGGGGGTGAAAGACATCCAAGAGAGGCGGCCAAAAAATGAGAATGAACTTATAGGTATTACTCATCAAATAAGGTAAATTGTAGCAGCTGTTTTACTGAAGCAAAAGTAAAAGTAGAAAATTCTTCAAAGCGAAATGTGACGAAAAAAGCAGACAAATATCTAGATCAAAAATAAAATATTACTATAAAATTTTCAGAAAGGTATAATTTCTTCATAAAAATTAAATAAGAAACAATTTCGCAATGACAAGATAACAACGGACCGCACTGGACAACAAACACGCGTGAGTAATTCACAACAGATCACATGATTTTCGCTATTGACGAAGAGCTTGTGGAAGGGATGAACGTATTTAAATACTCCTTTTCCCCACTGTTATTTACGATAGTAGATAGACATTAGACAGCTGTTTTATTTGTGTATAAGCATACGTAATTATTGTGCTTTGTTCCGTTAAATCCTTCTGTGATAATTTAGGATATTTAGGTATGTAATTTGTATCGATTTTATCATGAATGTGTTGACGACTTTTGTTAACGTTACTAAATGCAACCTTTGTTTTAGGCTTCAAAATGAAGTATTTAATCGTACTGGCTGCTATTGTAGTTGGAATTCAAGCGGTATCATTTTTCGACCTAGTGCAAGAACAATGGAGGTCTTTCAAGGTTAGTGTTTAAATGGTTGTTTACATAAAAACAAAGGTTACGTCTGTGATCAAAGGTAACTCAAAAAAGCCGCGTTTGGAAATACCTGATGCAATTTCAGTTTGCTTTAACAGCGACGCAAACGTGTTTCCTGAAATAAATTTGTTATTGCAATTTTTTCAAAATGCGTATATTTAAATTCAAGGAAAAAGTTGACCTTTGATTATTGATAAACTTTGAATTTTGAAATTGTTGACACACAAACAATTTTTAATCACAGGAATCTAAATTACGTCAATATGGTTTAATTTTAATGTAGTTACCTATACCATTGAATTTATACCTACACGCTCAAAGCAGTTGTGAACAATACAAGAATCGATTTGATAGGTTGCTTGACCCTGTAATCCTATAAATGTGAATGATAAAGGAACTTTATAAACAATGTGCATCAGAACATCAGTATCATAATACTATCATGTAACAAACTCTTGGAACTTGATTTCATATGACCTAATTCACCATTGTATCAAATGCGTACATTGTTATCATGGCAAATTGGGTCAAAAACAATACTAAAGTCCTATACTCATTTTGGTTGTGTGAATATTTCAAGATATGAGATATGCCATTTTTGTTTCTGGTACTAATTACTTACCCATTTCATAATTAGGTACATAAACCGTGATCAACAAGAACAACGGGTTATTTCCTTGTTGATAATCTCATCAAGTGATGCACGGTGTAATGGTGATGCTACCCAATACATACTTAGGTAGGTTACTTACAATTTCAGAAACTGCTGAAACATTTGGATATAGTTGTTAATGTCTCTTTACTCTTTAGTTCCTTTGAATTTATCTCTCAAAAGAAAAGTTAAATTAAATTACACGTTAGCCATCCTCATAACAATTTAAAATTTAAGTTTATTATCCCACAGTCTTGCCTACCCTGATAACGATTGTAGATTAAAGTTATTGCTTGATCAAAAGATTTGTAATCTACAATTTGTGAGCTTAAGAGGATGCTGTTACCTATTTCTTTTAACCCCATTGGATTCCCATGTCATTCTTATCAGCGAATGTCCAATTTATTATCAACACGTGCCTTACGAGTGATACGTGCGAGAATCACTCGCCTTATAATCTGTTTGACAAAATGTTTATTTTTGAAAGCTGTTGTGATTAGAACATGTAATTATTCTCTTCTCTAAAATTAAATCCAATATTTTTATGCAATATCGAAAAGTCGTAAACATATAGGTATAAGAATAAATATAAAAAGAATGCATGCGCAAAACTATTACCTATTTATGGAGAGATTTTAATGAAATTTGATATTTGGTCCTATTTTGCAAAATATGTACAAATGTTTTGAAGGTTCTGTATGTATAGGTACGTCAAAAAAAATACGCTGTGGAAAATCGCAAGTGCGGCGGATTTTATTGCTTGTTTTAGACTTTTACATACATATATGTGCGAGCATATGTGGTACAGCCTGATGTATAAAAGGAACTGTAACTAGTATGTGACTACTTAATATAATCACAAGCTCTCTTTTTTGAAAGAAAATCAACCCAAAAGACAATTACCCTTCGTTTTCACGAAAACTATATTTACTTATAGTGAAAGTGGTCAACAAATGTTTTTGCCAACGAAATTAGTGCATAAATGAATATTTTGTTTCGCTAACCCGACCAATAATAAAGAAAAACAGGAATGCAATGTGTTTTTGAGAATTTTTGTTAAGTATAATTTTCTATTTCATATAGTCCAGGAAATAGAGACTGAAAATGGACCATTTCCTGCAAAACGAGAAGTAGTTCCAATTTTTTTTGCATGTCATGAAAGAATATCTGGTGGTTAAGAATCCAAGTTTTCGACCTCCCACCCCTTGTGCTTCCCCCGTACCACCCTTAAAACCAAAGAAATTTGGTTGGTTTTTTAGTTTTTCAATCATATCTTTTTATAGGTTCATTTTACAAAAAAAATATTGTTATCAGAAATTGTAGACTATAAAATTTTACTCAACTTTGATATACACTACATTTTTTGAGAAATGTTTATTAAAAACGATATAGAGCTTCAGAGTTGCTTATATTTTTAAGAATTCTAAAATTTGTATGTAGATGTTTTAACCAAATTTTATACTTTATCTCTATAATTAAGAGTTTTATGAGAAAATATCTTCAACTTATCGTGGCATAAATACCTTTACGCTGCACCCTTACCAAAGGGGATGCATAATAATTCAACTTTCAACCCTTGCTAGTGGGGATATTTGAATCACTGTGAGATTGTAGGGCTTTCTAATATACGTTTGAAACAAAAAATTATCTCACTTCAGTTCAGCTTCATCCTGGACTAATAGAATAAAATGCATTTCTTCTAGAAAAATTGAAATACTACTACTTCGCGATTTTCTGACCACCTTTTGTAAAAATGATCACTTTACTGACATTACAGAGTTTTTCAGAACAAGTAAAACTTTATGATAATTTGACAAATATTTTTTAAATTCCTCCCGTAGTACAGATGTGTGCGATGTCAATCATGTCTGTCTTCTAGATAACCCACACTACTTTGGTAGGGTTTACTGAATCAGCCGAGAGATTTACTGCTGGTTTTACTGTACATCTAAGATAAACTTAATTCAAAATTCAAGGTGTATGGTGTTGAATCTTATGTAGACTGTCCAAGTTCTGACAATCAGAATGATACCGCCCTTCAAAGACTGTCTTGTGATTCATCTAGACACCATATAAATGTTTTTTGTTTGTTTACAGGCAACACACAACAAAGAATACGAGAATGAGACTGAAGAAAAATTCCGCATGAAAATTTATATGGAAAATGTCCGTAAAATTGAAATACACAACCAACGTTACGCAAACAACCTAACCAATTACAAATTAGGAGTTAATAAATTCGCTGATATGCTGCATCACGAGTTTGTACATATAATGAACGGATTTAATAGAACCAATCGGTTGACTGCCGCCCACGCTTTGCCCGACAAGCATGGATCTGACGGAATCACCTTCATTCCTCCTGCACACGTGGAATTACCGAAATCGGTTGATTGGAGAACGAAGGGGGCTGTAACAGAGGTTAAGGATCAAGGCCATTGCGGATCTTGCTGGAGTTTCAGTGCAGTAAGTATTGAATGTTTTTTTTGACGTTCGTACAAATTATTATGGTTTTGTTAGACTGGAGCGTTGGAAGGCCAACATTTCCGACAAACTGGAAAACTTGTTAGTTTAAGTGAACAAAATTTGATCGATTGCTCAACTAAGTTTGGTAATAATGGTTGTAACGGTGGATTGATGGACAATGCGTTTAGATACATAAAAGCAAACCATGGTATTGATACTGAAGAATCATACCCTTACGAAGCTGAAGATGATAAATGTCGTTATAATCCCAAAAACTCAGGTGCTACGGACAGAGGGTATGTTGATATCGAATCTGGAAATGAAGAGCAACTGAAGTCTGCCGTTGCTACTGTTGGGCCTGTATCAGTTGCCATTGACGCTGCCCATCAGTCGTTCCAATTTTATGCAGAAGGAGTGTATGATGAACCCGAATGTAGTACATCCCAATTAGACCATGGTGTGCTGGCTGTCGGATACGGTACCTCAGAGGATGGACACGATTATTGGATTGTTAAGAATTCATGGGGTCCATCATGGGGCAAACAGGGATATATTTTAATGGCTCGAAACAACGAAAATCAATGTGGCATTGCAACACAGGCCAGTTATCCTTTAGTTTAAGTTTAGCTTTTGTTAGAATATGCTTGTGTAATGTAAGTTTTCCAAAAATATTGTACATTTTAGCAATAGGAAATGTTTATTTGTATTAATAATTGAGATTTTGAAATAAAAGCACAATATGAAAGTTGATATGTTTAAATATTTGAAGTACAATGTTGACTTGTACCGTAGCCTACCGATAGATCTAGCCGTGACATTGATTTAGTGACGTCACAATTGGAGATGGGCCACTGCAACGCGATACTATGTGTTTAAATGCAATTTGATTCGCGTGCGTACTCATTGAACGCGAAAACATTAAGTAATTACTTATTTTGAGCCTCAGGATTGTTATATGTTGTTTCCTAATTATAGACACGTGTTATTATGCAATTTTATTAAATACGTACATAAACAACAAATACTCACTGAAAACCGAACTGAAAACAAATAAAATTTAAACATTCTAATACACACATCTGCCTTTTTTAGCGTAACACAACGAAGTTGAGGTAAGGCTTATGTGCTCGTTGTTCCCTCGTCTGTTCCATCGAGATCTCGGCCCCTGGACTACCTAGAGACTACAGATTTTCGGTCATTTGTAGTTGCAAAGGTCTATATTTTCCCGTAACTCATCATTTACATCCTTTTCATATATGATGACTGATTTTCAAAAATGGTGGGATACGTGTCTTCGGCAAGTTTAATCTGGTCTCGTGGAACTGTTAATACTGTATCGTCTTATCTAGTCATCTTGTCTACCCGAATAATGAAAATGTCGGAGAAATGCTTTATATAAACCCTGGGGTAACTAGTAATTTCAAAATTGTCCCGGTGAATACATCTTAACCACTTCTTTTGATTTTCGGAAAACGAAAAACCGTAAGGAACCTTGTCTCTTGAACTATAATTGCTTTTGCAACCAGGGACGCAGCACGTATTTGGCATTTTCGTACTTATTCTGTTCGAATACAGTTAATTTAAGTGTACAACATTAAACTACTTGGAATTAATTACATTAAAAGTCGATATGACGGCCGCCGTCAGTTGTGACGTCAACGCAATAGTGGGGATGAGTGTCACGGCTAGTTCTATCGGTAGGCTACGCTTGTACCAACCTATAAAGTATGTACATAAGTTTCTATAGCAATGGGTACGATCAGCCGAGCAACTGTTGCTTGCCTGACACAGTTAACCAAAATCGTCCTGAAACCTTCATTTATTCACAATCATCCTGTAATGTGTAGCATAATTAGTATCTACAAGGGTAAGGAAGTTGTACATAATCCACATGCGGTCAGTAATGACTTCTTCCCTCCCACTTCTAAACTCTCCGCTTGTTAGTTAGGTGGCGCTACACGCAATTTATTAACAAATTTGACATTGTATAAAACTTGAAGGTCCGTATTACGTCTAGTGAAATTTCAAAAGGCCAGTGATAATATTTATATACATATTAACTAACTGGTATATTTATATTAACTACATTGTGTGAAAGAAAAAAACTGAAGTCCCAGTCAAAAACAAAGTTTAAGAGTAAGTTAGATACCTAACCTTAAACCTATAATATCATGTGTTTGAATTTCTTCATTTCAGTATATTAAATTACTTGAATTCTACCTTTTGCTAATGATAATATCGGGCCACATTCAAATGAGATGAAAAAATCGTACATACGTCCGAAAGGGATTCATCTTCGTGGAAACTCAAAACTTCCCCGTCATGTAAGTAACGTACCGCAAGTGTTTGTTTTAAATCATATTTTTAGTGCAGTTTTAACTTTTAATGGATGGTTGGCATGTTATTTACTTGAATTAGCTACAAGAAATGTTATCGGACGCAAGATGCTCCAAACGCTTTACAAGGTTACAAAGAAGAATTTCAGTTTCATATACGAGTTTTCCTTTGTATTAAGAATGGAGAGTGTTAAATAATATTGTGTGCACCTATGTGTAAATACCCTGTAATTAAAATATGAAAGAAACATTCGTACAAACTGCGCAATGTACTTAACCTATAAATGTGGATAGGTACCTATTTAAGTGTATTTGTGCTAGGTATTCCATTTTTACTTAATTAAATTATAGTTACAGTCCTGTTAACATACAAACATTTGTACAAGTAATTCTATTGGGGATGGTTTCCAGGATGCTGATTTCTTTGCCGCTTGGAATTTCAAACCTATAAATCTTGAAATTATCTAATACCTACAGCTCGGTACAGGGAACACCTAAATAAAAAATATACGGTTCGGCCGTGATGATGGGTGCCTGTTGCTCGTTTTGAGTTTTGCTTTGTCTGTTATTTTTCTATCTATACGTGCAAAAAGCGATAATAAAAATTACTAATTAGATGACGGTTTGATGAGCACAGAGCAAAGCAAAGTGAATAAAATTCGAATCTGTTTTACCAACGAGATTTGAAACAGCAGAAAAATGACATTAAACAGATGTCGCTAATCGTGAAATTTAATTTCTTGCTTTATTTTCATAATATTTAAATATTATCAGTAATTATGATTGTGAATAAAATAGTATACGAACCTCGCGCGAAAGATTATTTCTCTCAGAAATAAACTGCCCTCGGCGCTTAATTCTTCGAGAAATCAGCTTAGACCATATAGTACATGGACTGCTATTAGCCCTATGCTTTCAATACAAAATGGGTGGTCACGGATAGAGTCGTAGTCGTGGGTATGTGAATCTCAGGGTAAACTAAGGTCGTATGAACACCACTCGGATCGCGTAAAGAGCAGCTTTCTAGTAACCGCGTAGTACGGGAAGCTTTTATATACTCTTCATTATTTGCTATACGTTCACAAATAATAATAAGTTTGCTTTTTTTGGGATATCTAGGCGATTAATTAATTGACGTTTGTGAATTTATAGGTTGACAGTCTCAAATCGTGTCTCATCGGACAACTTCGAACAGACTCGTTTACCCTGAAACTCACATACCCAGGCGATGTCCTTGACCATATTTTAGTTACAATTAGCAGTCCATGTACTATATGGTCTAAGGAAATAAGCTACTTCCGCGCTCAGTGCGTAATGTACTATTTCATGTCTACTTTCTGTCGGGAAATGTTAGTTTCCATGACAGAGGCAGAGCAGACTACATTTCCTGCCGCTTGTCACTTTACCGGACGCACCGTCACTTTACAGGTAAGTTCATAGCTCTCCGTTCATACGTTTCCGTTTGTCCGTTAGCCAATCAGAAGACAGCAAATTTTTAAATCGTACGTCGTCCGTTTACGACGGAAAAGTTGGTTGAAGTTGAACATTTACGTTTCCGTTGGTCCGTTTTTAACAAGAGTGAGGTTATGTTTGGTACGTTAACAGCGTTCGCCTACTCGTTCTTCACGGTAATATGCCAGATAGCAATGTGTTCTTACTTTCGTACCATTTTTACATACTGAAAATCATTGACGGTACAGTACAAAATAAAGTTTAGGTTATGATTATACTTGCAAATGTACAATGTGGACGGATTGCTATGAACCTTAACAAAATTTTCTATCCGTTTGACGGATCAACGCAACGGATGAACGGACAGCTATGAACCAACCTTACCGGCCCAAGGTTGTTTTATTAGAAAAATAACCTTGTTACTAGCCGCAGTTTTGACATTTCCAAATGACTCCTGTCATCACTGACTGTATATAAAAATTGAAATTTTGTATTAAAGACGATGTCATTACCTGACGGAGTTTGTAAATATCTGAATTTATTTTCGATATGAATTTTTTAATTGAAATGTAGAATAGAAAGTATCTTGGAGCATTCTTACATTACACGCAGTGGCGTAGCTATCGGGGTAGTAGGGGTTGCAATTGCTACCCGGCGCCAAGTACCGAAAGGCGCCGCGGTTAGTATCGTTTATTGGTTTATTTATTATATTACTTACATTTACATCGCGGTTGGGATTAATCAGAGTAGCAAAAATTCAACAAAAATAATCTTACAAGATTTAAATTTAATTATCTAACTGTGATACAGTAACCTGTAAGCTTATGTATAAAAGAAAGACCTTTATTTAACATAAAGGCCTATTGTATCTCGAAACTTGAAAATATCACATTTCAACTAAATGAAGTCATGCGAGGTGCACGTGCAAGGATGCGATGCGAAGCATTGAACGTTATCATTATTGCCCTGCACCTGCATGTGTATGCGAGTTAAGTTCATTATTATTTTTGGAGAAAGGCGCATTAATTGTTTTGCTACCCGGTGCATCGTACTCTAGCGACGCCACTGATTACACGAATAAACATTATTATTATTAATTATTTATTTATTTTATTTACTAACAAAACGGAACTTGCCCTTTTACATTGTCAGCAGTCAACGGTTCTGGCTTTAACAACTTAAACAAACAAAAGTAATAAAACAACAATAGTAAAAAAAAAACAAATACCAAAATGCAATATCAAAGATGTAACAAGACATTACGGACACTCGTTCAAGTTTCCTGGCTCGTGACCTATTATAGATTTTGTCATAATAGTATGCAATAACTCCTTTTTTAAATAATGTTAAGTTTACATTAATTATATTAGAATTGGTCTGGTGAATATATACATTGGTGGGTATGGCTACCCTTATCATTGGCGATTTTAATTTGTGACTGGTTCGACATGTAGGCACATAAAATATACTTTTTGGTCTGGTTTTATGAGCTGGAACATACAGATTCACAAGTGATAGCAAATTAGGACAGTCAATTCTATTATTTATCAATTTGTGCATGAAACAAATATCAGCAACTTCTCTCCTAGATTTTAACGGCATGATATGATTTTCCTCTCTAACTTCCCGATATTGATCATATTGGGGGTAAGTACCGTGCCTCTTAAAATGTAGATATTTTAAGAATTTATTTTGAACTGTCTCTATTTTTTTTTTATGGATTTGTAGACCGGAATTCCAAACTCTACTGCCGTACTCTAATTTAGATCATACCAGGGAGTTGTAGAGAATTTTTATGGAAATGATATTTTGAAATTCGGATGTATTACGTATTAGAAACCCTAAATTTTTTAGTGCTGAATTAACAACGTTATTTATATGCTCGTCCCATTTTAAGGTAATTGTAAATTCTACTCCTAAATCCCTAATTACTTTTACAGTTTGCAGTTTTTGTTGGTGCATAGAGTAATCTGCTTCAGTATAACAGCTAAACCAACTTTTCAAATACAACTATTTTTAAAAAAAAACCTTTATTCATTGCCTAGTAGAACTGATGATGTCAGGAGTTATTAGATCTTACAGTAGCCATTACTTTCCAAAATGATAAAGTGTGCGAATTAGTATTTATTTGTGCATATAAAACAACTCTTGTGTAAATACAAAAGTAGATTTTGAAGGACACTGCATAACTGCACACAAAGTTATAATTGAATCAAAGGCTTTCTTGCTCACAGCCAAGCATATATTCCACTAGATCATAATTATTTCAATATGTTTGAGTTCTGTACAGGGCCGCCGATAAGGCGGGGGGGGGGGGGGGCCCGGGGCCCGGCCAAAAGAGATTTTGAATTGTATTTTTAACAGAAATCTACATATGCATATCTCTATATGAGAGAGTAGAATATAAAAAAATGCACAGCAGATTTAAAAAACCATACCATTGAGCAAAATTTCCTAATTACGTCAAGTGGCAGAAGGCTCGCTAGAGAAATTAATTTTAAGTGAGTGATATTCACTTTTGCCATTGTTTAAGAGTATTTAAACAATGCTTTTGCTAATAAGAAAATCACCAGAGTTAAATTGTAATTTGGTTATTTGAATTCTAACAATTCTTAATAAGTTATGAAAAAACTGTGTCTGTATGAAAATTATTCAAATGTTCTCCTTTCAAATTCAAGCAGTCAAGATTGAAAATGTCTAGGTTAAGATAAGGGTGGCGAGGGACAACAAAAATTTCAATTATAGCCCGTATAGGGGCCCGGACAAAAAATATTCCCGGGGCCCGTCGAGGCTATCTGAGACCCTAACCAATAACCATACCAATACTCAGAAAAACTAATTTTTCCACTGTGTATTTATTTCAATACTAAAACTGTAACATACAAAGGAATGCTTATCTTACAATTAAAAATACAAGGGGTCCCAGAGAGCTTTGCAGTTATTTAGAACATAAAAATATAAGGTAAATAAAAAATGAACAAAAATAATAAATGTATGAAAAATAGTTTCATCTAGGTATGCTTTTTCAAGAAATGCCTTAGATTTTTCCGAGGATTTTTCATTCCCTTGGACTACTGATTTTATGGGCCATATTTTTAAATTACTTAATTAAATTTACTGGAACAAAATCGTTTGGAACCACATCTAAATAACGAGAACATAAAACCAATCTTGCATATAAAACTTGATATAAACACACATTGTTGGATTTCAAACCATTCCATCGAAATGTGTACATTAAATTTGCAAGTTGCTTTAAAAAATTATGGATAAAATAAAAGTGCAAAGCTCTGCAAGATTTTTATTACAAAAGTTAAAAGTAGGTATAAAAATCTGTGCTTCGTGATAAAACAATAATGTTAGTCCTGTTTGGTTTTTAAAGCATCTAACCTCTGAAGAAGTGGTGGATGTGAATGATGCCAGGCTGAATATAAGGAATCATATACAGGAAATCCAAGATTATCTTTATTCAGCTGAATTAGGGCTCTTTGCAGAGGCTCCGCTTTCTTCAATTTAGTAGCAAATTTATCTGCTTGAAACTCGAAATACCGTGAAAGACATGTCAACAAAAATGACAATAGTTCGTTATAAGGCACCATAATGTATTGCATTACAACTAGCAAACCAACCAGTACAGGTTGTAGTTTTGTCGGAAATCCCACCGCTTGATAGATGGGAGGGTAACGAAACATAAATGCGAATACAAGAAATACTAAAAGTAAATTCGTTTGCATGATAATTAGCCTTTTAGTGATGTGACTGTGTTTCCAATGTCCAAGTTCGTGCGATAGTACTGCTAAAACTTCATCGTTTTCACAACCTCCACTTTCTGGTTTGGCTAATAAGGTATCGAACAATACTATTCTTTTGGCAAATAATCCATAAAAGTAGGCATTACTGTGTGCGGATCTCTTTGACCCTTCGACCACATACAGCTGATCTAGAGGAAACTTGAGCTCCGATGCCAGTTTTTCTATGTTTGTTCTTAATTCACCTTCTGGTAGGGGTGTATATTTGTCAAATAAAGGAGCAATGTAGGATGGATATATTGTCAAAAGTACCATCAGAATTACTCCCACCGTAATCCAAAGCCAAACAAAGAAATATTCCCCACCATATTTCACTATTAATATTATAATAGAGCAAATCGGCAATGTTAAAGATTGGCTTAAAATATACGCCTTAATTTTATCAAGTGTGAAGAAAGTGGCCGTTTGCTTATTGAAACCATATTTTTCTTCAAGTACAAATGTATAGTAAATGGAAAATGGTAAATCCAAAACAGAAGACAAAGTTGTTAAAATAAACAACCAAATACAACTGGTCGCAACTTCACCTTCCCAAGGGCTGTTACTTTGCGAATAATTCCACACTTTCGCTAGTAACCCGGTATATATTATAAAAGTAGAGGTGATTATTGATACTGCACTCTTCACAAAACCGAAACTACTTTTGTCGATACTATACGAACGTGCCTTGTCAAATATATCCTTATTCATAACACCTCGAAGTTCCTGCGGTACATCTTTGGTATGTTGACATACTCGATACTAAAGCGGATATACAATTACGTATTGGAGAGTAATACAATATATAAACTCACCTGTCGGATTTCTAAGTACAATTCCCAAAGGTACTGTAGCCATAAAAAAAACAGTATAGAATACAAAACGTTAATATCATCTATCATAGTCATTTTCCAGTTAAATGTAAAGCAGCATCACATGGATTATAATAGTTGCCCTTAATCACCAACAATAAATGGCAAGTCACCTTTGATTAACAGAAAATGATCCACTAATACAGGCTTCGACCCTTTAATAACTCCACGCAAACGCTAAAGCTATACGTGTCCCTTAACCACTTCAACTAAATCATCCACAGGTTCACACCACAGATTAAAAGACTTGTCAGTTACAATTTTCAAAAGTAGGGTTAGGAGATGGCCTTCTGTTCGTGGTTCTTGGTGCTTCATCGTGTTATATGCAGCTGTGTCTCATGCATCAACACATGCATCAAAAGCTAAAGGCTGGTTTATAATTGGCCTAACCGTATTCCGTAAAAATTCAAACATGACAAATCAATGTATCTGGGGGCCGATTCTAACTGATTTCAACGGTCGAAAAAGAATTTCGACGGCGCCATGACACCAATTAAATATTCGCTTTCTTGCTTCCAAACGTTTACCTGGATAAGGTCTCATTATATATGACTTTAAAGGAAATGCTTCATCCCCCCACAAAAAACATTGGGAAAGGTTGAATTGTTCCTGGTAATGGTGAATAAGGAGGAAGCTTAATTGTCCCATTTTCTAAACCTTGACCAAATTTTGATTCGGTAAACACCCCACCATCCGCGTCGCACACTACCATTAAAACCAAACTAAATGTGTTTTTTTATAATTAAAAAAAGCACTCCCGGATTTTTTTGGTGCTTGTATACCTAGTTATGTGTTTACCATCAAGGGCACCACAACAGTTAGGCAGATTCCAACGTTCTTCAAATCTTTTTGAAATATGTTGATATTCATTGACTGTGGGTGCTTTTAAATAGATAGGTGATAACACATCCCAAATTGCCTGACATGTCTCTCGTATAACAAACGATACGGTGGATTTCCCAATCAAAAAGGACCAAGCGACAACTTGCATACTGCAACCGTGGGCGAGATAACTAAAATTTTAATATCTAGTACCTATTGTTTAAACAGAATTTATGAGAACTTACTACAAAGTGATAGCCAGTCTATGCTCAGGGCTTAATGCTTCCCTTTTGCTGTGTTTTTCCAACTTGTGCAAGCCGATCACAACATGATAAACATGAAAGAGGCTACTGCTATATCTTCCTCCAATACATCCATGTTCGACGATTTTATTTAACAACTTAATAAATAAATAGGTAGATTTCAACAATTGTATACAAAAACCAAAACTTCACTTTGACATGGTTATTTTTTGGAGAGCCAATAGTGAGAATGAAATCCCCCAGAATCGTTCGCAATTTTTGGGTACGTTCCACTTAACGCCCGCAACGACCACGACGCTCGGCTGCCGTTCCACATAACGACCACAGTCGTTATGGTCGCAATCGCGACGTCAGATATGACGTCATTACTAGCGACCGCAACGAGCCCACGGCGCTCGCCTATCGTACCTGGGTCAGCGTGGGCGTTCTAATTTTATAACCTTACATTCTTGACAGGAGACATTTCTAGAGACATTTAACTGTCAGACACTGATTGTTTGAACACGCATGCGTTGCAAATTTTTCGTTTTCGCTATGGAGAAAATATAATTACGTGTTTCAGAACGTAACCTTGTGGTGGACATTACACTATGGATGTTCTACATGCACAAACTGGTAAGTATTGTTGTGTTTTTTTATTAGGCCGCAGTTGGACGGCATTTATTTACTCTGGAAAGACGTTTATTTCCCATTTTTATGCAGAGGATCGTTGTTTTAGTTCAATTAATGCTCGGCCGGAGTTAATTAAGAAGTTGAAGTCTGGGAAAATCGAATCCGTAATTAGTGTGTTTAAATGTAATAAATTTTGTCTTGTTATTGTTAAATTCGTGGAAGGTAGCAGAGTGCTCGCGCTTTGCACAAGTGTTACTTTAGATAAGGAAACTTTTAGTTGTTTAATAACGAATTTCATAGGAATTTTGGCGTGTTAAAAACTCGTAAAAGTGCCAGTCTAAGTTGATTTACGATCGGTAATAGTTTCATTTATGCAATTATGCTATTGGTCCGCGGAGTCGACCGTTAAGCCTTTTCGGATCCGACATTCAAATTATTCATGGAAAAGCGTGGCAACGAGATTTCAAATTATTCATGGAAAAGCGTGGCAACGAAATTTGACGATACTGGGATATAAATGGTTTTGAACAGCGAAGAGAAGGAGCTTATTGTACCGTTTCGCAAAGCCTACGTTTGTCGTATGTGAAGATTTTTTTTTTGAAAAGTTTATTGTAGCGGCGTTTGCAAAAGTTACGCTAGTTTATTCGTCGAGTGTTGTTATTTTTGAAAGTCCGGGAACGTGTTTTTACGCCGGCATCGTCGAGGAGTTTAAGGTCTTTGGAAGGAGTTTGTTGGAGAGGAAACGAGCGGTACAATAACGCCATTTTGAGCAGCGAGAGTTTGTGTTGTATCTTCCATCATCTGGAGGAGACGGAACGTTTGTTTAACGCCAGCATCGCCGAGGAGCTGTCGGAGTAGCTGTGTCAG